TTCTTTTCACTACATCTGTGTCTTTGGGGTAAATACCCAGTCGTACAATTGCTGGGTCATAGGGTAGCTCTCTTTTTAATTTTTGGAGGAACCTCCACACTGTTTTCCAAAGTGGCTGAGAACACATTAATAAGAGGAGAGAGAAGAACCATATGGTCCTCTCAATTGAGGCAGAAAAAGCATTTGACAAAGTACAGCATCCTTTCTTGATCAAAACTCTTCAGAGTATAGATAGAGGGGGAACATTTCTCAATTTCAGAAAATCCATCTATAAAAAACCCACAGCAAATATCATTCTCAATGGAGAAAAGCTGAGAGCCTTTCCCTTAAGATCAGGAACACGTCAAGGATGCCCACTCTTGCCGCTGTTTTTCAACATAGGACTAGAAGTCCTAGCAACAGCAGACAACAACAACAACAAAAATAAAAGGTATTCAAATTGGCAAAGAAGAAGTCAAACTCTCTCTCTTCACAGATTACATGATACCTTATGTGGAAAACCCAAAAGACTCCACCCCCAAATTACTAGAACTCATACAGCAATTCAGTAATGTGGCAGGACACAAAATCAATGTACAGAAATCAGTTGCTTTCTTATACACTAACAATGTAACTGTAGAAAGAGAAATTAGAGAATTGATTCCATTTACAATAGCACCAAAAACCATAAGATACCTTGGAATAAACCTAACCAAAGAGGTAAAGGATCTGTATTCTAGGAACTACAGAACATTCATGAAAGAAATTGAAGAAGACACAAAAAGATGGAAAAACATTCCATGCTCATGGATCGGAAGAATAAACACTGTTAAAATGTCTATGCTGCCCAGAGCAATCTATACTTTCAACGCCATCCCAATCAAAATACCAATGGCATTTTTCAAAGTGCTGGAACAAACAATCCTAAAATTTGTATGGAATCAAAAAAGACCCCGAATCACCAAGGAAATGTTGAAAAAGAAAAACAAAGCTGGGGGCATCATGTTGCCTGATTTCAAGCTACATTACAAAGCTGTGATCACCAAGACAGCATGGTACTGGCACAAAAACAGACAGATAGACCAATGGAACAGAATAGAGAGCCCTGGCACACTTTCTGAACTCTGATAGTCATTTAAATTTTATAGGTCTGAAAATTTTTTTCTCCAAATTTTTAATTTAAATTACAGGTAGTTAACATATGGTGCAATATTAGTTTCAGATGTAGATTTTAGTGATTCATCACTTACATACAATACCCAGTGCTTATCACAAGTGCCCCCCTTAACACCCATCACCCATTTAACCCATCCCCACGCCCACCTCTCCTCCAACATTCCTCAGATTGTTCTCTATAGTTAAGAGTCTGTTTCTGGCTCACTTTCTTCATAATGTAAATTAAAGGTTTGGGCCAGAGGAGGGTCTCTAAAACTCTCTGTGGCTTAGAGACCTAATTCTAAGTATTCAGCGGGGATGAAAATTCTGCAAATGTCATCTTCAGATACATACATAATGTATGTACATATATGTATGAACCAGAATTTATGTGACTACCTATCATCAAAGGATCAGAACAATGAGCAGAGAGAAGTGAATTGAAAGCAATTAGGAATGTTATCTCTATTGATTATGGCAACCATTTTCTGAGTACTGAGACCTTTACAATATAAGAAATTCCCATGGGATTATATATGCCAAATAGTGCTTCTTGCAGTTGGTCAATTTTCATCTCATCAGCCCTCTCAGCAGCAGTAAGTAAGAATTACTTTTTTTCCATGGCTTTTCCAAACCTGGAATTTTTCTCTTTTATTTTCATTTTTTGCCAATTTCAGCGTTATGACATGGTATTTGAATATAATTTGGTTTTTGCCTTTCCCAGAAGACTCATAGGATTGAGCATCTTTTCATTTATTCTGTGAAATTACCGTGCTTTTCTTTTGCCTATTTTCCCCTTGTTCATCTTGCTTCATATTCATTTATCAAAGTGCTTCACATATCCTGGGTTGTAGTCCTTCTTAAATTAATATGGTATAAAAATATTTTTGGGGTGCCTGGGTGGGTCAGTTGGTTAAGCATCTGCCTTCGGCTCAGGTCATGATCCGAGGATCCTGGGATCAAGCTCCATGTCAGGCTCTGGGGTCCATGGGGAGTCTGCTTCTCCCTCTGCCCCTCACCCCACTTGTGCTCACTCTCTCTCTTTTTCTCTCTCTCTCAAATAAATAAATAAAATCTTTAAAAAATTATTTTCTTCCAGTTTTTTTATTTAGATTCTTTCTCTCTGTGATATTATTGATGAACAGGTGTTCCTAATTTTAATGTGGTTGAATGTATTGATATTTTATTAGTTCCTTTTACGCCTATTTAATAAATCATTCCATAATTCAGTATCTCACTTTCTTGTCCTACAAAAATTTTACAGATTTACCTCAGCAACTTATATCCTTTGTGCATGGAGAATTGGTTTTTGTAGATGATGTAGAGATCCAATTTTACTTTATTCATGTAGATAACCAGTTGTCCCAGCACCATTTATTAACTAATCTATACTCTGCTCACTTAACTGCAATTCCTGACTTGATATAAATTGTTTTCATGTAGACTTAGGATTATTTTTAGTTTCATTTTTTTATCCCCCCTTTTTTCATTTATCCTAATGTATTATCTTCATTACCATAATTTTCTAATAATTGTGCACCTTCACACAAGAAAGTTCCTTCTACTTCTTTTTCTGACATAGCTTGGCTATTTTAGGCTCGTTTTTCCCAAAGAACTTGTAGAATCAGCTTTTCACATTCATTTAAAAATTTCATTTAGATTTTTAATGGAATTTCATCAAATCTATAGATCTGTTTATATATGTTTAAAACATCGACTCTCCCAGTATATAGAACCCTGCAGTCTTTCTGAAATATCTTGTTAAACCCAGTACTTTTCTGAAGATTATTTTGGTCTTTCAATTTATACAGTAATATTTACTAATATGATTTTTTTCACTTATAATCTTTATAATGCTCATATATTTTTCCTTTCTTCCTACATTACCTAGGACTTAAAGTACAGTATGTTGATAGTAGGCGTCCTTGTTCTGACCTTAAAGATAATATTCTAGATTTCATAATGAAGTTCACAAATGCTATTTGTTTTAGATTATTTATCACAGTTATTACATTAGACAGGCAAGAAGGAAGGTATCTACCATTCCTAATGCCTGCCAAATTTGCCATATGTCTATACATGCATTATCTCATTTTATCTGGAAAGACTGGTATAACTAGCCATATTTCAGAAACTGAGATTTGAAAAGATGCATAATTGCTCCCCAGTGCAGTTAGCAAGTAGCCAAGCTAGGATATAATTTCATACGTCGACCTACTTTTCCCCCCACCCCCCAGTACATATATTTAGAAATATTTGGTTGTGCTAGCTCCCAATATCAAGCCACTTGCCATATTGAACTGATCAGGGGAGTAGACACCCGGACTGTCAACTTTCAGAGACAGGAATCAGGTCAGCTTTGGCCACTCCATTATCCCTAAAGACTGGTACTGGGCTTAACACTTAGGAGGTGCTCAACCAATATTTTGACTGTATGAATGGGAGGGACCCTCTAGTTTGGCTTGCATTGTCCTTGCTGTGATTCGCCTCAGAATGTGATGGATTGGGCTTGACCACTAGTCGTCACTAATAACTTACTGGTAGGCAGTGACTTTTCTTCTAGGGCATACCCTTGTGAAAGTCCCTAGGTGTTCACTGTTTAACTCCGTGCAGTGCCTTGCCTACCTCTAGCCACTTGTGGCACTGTCTGCATCCAGAGAGTCAGGTCGTCAGGCACTGGTGAGTTGAGACCTTGATTTGAGCTCTGATTCAAGGACATGAGTTATTTCACTATCAAATGAAATAGCCCTGAGGTAAAAACCTGTTGCCAAGGGTAAGCCCCTTTTTGGCATGAACCCTCCTGTGGACATGGTAGAGAGGCTATATTACCAGTAAAACAGATTAAGATTCCCCAGTATCACTTATAATTCTGTGTTTATAGTTTATCAGAAGCTGATTCTAGACCATACTGTTTCATTTTTCTTGGCACAATACCAGCATTGCCTAGGAAGTTGAGGAAGCTTTTGGCTTACACTCTTCCTTTGGTTAAACTCACTTAATCAGTGGGAGAAGATTGCTCTTTCCAAATACCCACACTTTGGGTTAATCTGTCTGACATCTTGTGGGACCCACACTGTTACTCTTAAATATGATAAAGACAGATATATAGAGAATGTTGAGACTTCATTTACATGCTATTCCCATGATGATGTGCTGGAATTTTGACCAGTCTCATAAAAGCCAGCCCTACCATCTGCTTGGTGAGATCAGGGAATGAATCAACAATCCAGCAGACTCCATTAAGCTCACTATCACTGCTCCCAACATCCAAGGAAGGAACAACAACAAAATGCACATGCTCTGTAGGAGATCTATTTACTCCCAGACCAAATTCTATTTTTTTTTTCTTTGCTTTCCCCTTACCAGATAATTTGTTATGGTTTCTCAGTGATGAAAATATCTGGCTCTTCACTGAGAAGATCTTTGAATATAAATGTCTCACTGAAAATTAAAATAACGCTTCAGTTGGATGGAGAGAATGTTGCAAACACATTGGAACCCATTGTTGCCAGCAGAGTAGAACCGTCCAATATGCATTTATGGTACCTGATTCATGCCCTGGAGATATTACAGAGCTACTTTCTGTGATCAGAGCTCTTGCAGTGATACTTAAAAATTAATTGAATTTTCAAGAATGTCAGCTTTAGCTATTGAAATTGATGGCCCAATAGCTAAGGAGGTTTATTAAAAATATACTGCCACCTACAGTACCGTTTGACTCTGTTTGATGGGGCTCTTGTCATGAATGTTAATTAGACAGAGTTAATTTGGGGGGGGGCTAATGATTAATTTTGTTTCTGTTAAGGTCTGCTGATCTACATAGTATATCTCTTTACTTATGCATGTATATATCTGTTTCCCCCTAGGAAAAGAAGAATATATTGCCACTTTCAAGGGATCTGAATACTTCTGCTACGACTTGTCTCAAAACCCCATTCAAAGCAGCAGCGATGAAATAACTCTGTCCTTTAAAACTCTTCAGAGGAATGGACTGATGCTTCATACCGGGAAATCAGCTGATTATGTCAATCTTGCCCTGAAAAATGGAGCTGTCTCTCTGGTCATTAATTTGGGATCAGGAGCCTTTGAAGCACTAGTGGAGCCCGTGAATGGAAAGTTTAATGATAATGCCTGGCATGATGTGAAAGTCACCAGGAATCTGCGTCAGGTAACAACGCAGTGGATAAGAGAGTTACTGGCTTTGTTTCTCACTACAGCTGTGTGTGTGGTACTTGAAAATCCTAACAACATGATATAGGGCTCCTCAGAGTCGCTTACAAATTAGATTTTTCTTCTGAGATGAATCTTCCTGCCATACTTGAGCAGGGGCATATCTAGAAAGTTCTGGGGGGCCCAAAGGCTATTTTGATACAGCGACATATGACAATTTCCCAGAGGGCTGCAAGGGTATCCCTGCGACCTGCCCTTCCTGTGATGTGTGTGATTTTGTTGTGTTTTATTTTTTATTTTTTTTGTTTGTTTGATTTTAAATTCTAGTTTTCATGCTGATCATTTGGAAGCATGCACATTGGGATCATTAAATCACAGTTCCTTTTTTGTAGTAAAAATATCAGTGTGTTTGTGATTTGGGATTGTATCAATCCCTACTCCCTCTCCACCCCTACCTCTGAAATAGGGACAAGAACAGCCCCTGAGGCATAAAGAATGACTTTGGGGGCCTGTACATCTCCTGAAGAGTCTGTTTATGAAGCCATTTTTTATTTTTAGCACAGATACTTTAAATCCCAAATGACTCTGGAGAGACCAGTTCATCTTCTAGGTGCCCATTTCTATTTGGTTGTATTTAAAAAAAAAAAAAAAAAATCTTGCAAGAGTCTATATACTAGGAAAATATCAATTCTTTAGTAAATCTATGGGTCCACATATACTGTATGTTTTTAACTGAGGCATATTATTACAGTATATATATATATATATACCTATATATACAAATGGAAGTGAATAGATTGTCCTTTTATATTGAACATTATAAGTTTTGGTTATTTGAAATTTTATATTACAATGTGTCATTTTGTTAAGTGTTGACAGTGACTAATTTTTCTGCAGTTCATGCTGATCTCAAACTAATATCCTTAACATATTTGTTGTTTCTCTGAACAGTTGCAGAATGACCGGATTGTCTCTGGTTTTCCTTTACTAAAACAGCCCTCTCTTTCTGAGCTGTTAACCGTCTAACCTTTTCTTTCCCGCTTCTGAAAGGCTTACACTCTCCAAACTTGAGGCAAAAAAGAATTTTAGGCATACAGACGTAGTCTAGCTAAGGCAGACAAGAAAAACTGAAGGATTCTTAGATCCTCAAACACCTTTCAGAGGCCTTCTTGTCATGGGAGGGGCCCTGCATGCTTCACACCTGCCCTGGGAAAGAGTCACCCCCCACCCCCCGCCCCAACCAACTCAGTGCAGCAGGAGACCATGGATTTCCTATAAGTCTGTCTCTTTGGTTTTCCTTTTTTTTTATTTTTTTCTCTCAGATTCTCACCAAGAGACCGGAGGCCCATTTGAGAGAAGCGCAGAAGGAAGGGTGGGGCTTGAGGATCCCACTTTCTAGATTTGCCTTTGCTCAGGTTACAAAGCAAACTGCGAATTGGTAGCTCAAAGGAAACTGTGGTTATACAGCTGGGGTGCATGTGTGGCAGGACAGATTAAAAACAAATCCATTCTACTCATTCTATGTGTCAGGATCTTTGCTTTGTTTCATTGCAGTAAACTGTGACCCTAAAGCCCATCAATATGACCGAAGGAAGTTTTGGAGTTGAGAAGGAGTCCTTGTGTGCTGTAAAATTGAGTAGCAGGGCAATGCCAACCAATTCCTATGAATTTGCTGGGGTGGGGTGGGCCAGGGTGGGGGAGGGAGCGCCTCCGGGCATAAGGCGGCAGTGGTCAGCTGATGAGCTTGAGGCCTTTGAATCCCTTATAGACTTTTTAAATGACTGTCAGATGTACTCAGGGAGACAAAGGGAACATTGCCATATGTCTGTTTCTATCTAGTAGCAAGTGATGAACAATACCGGCAGGAAAAATATTACCTCTGTGGGAGGCCTATTTGTTAGTCTGCTTTTTTCTTGTAAAATTTTTTTGCCCTTTTTCTATGTTACTAACATGCTTAATAACTAACATGTCATTCATGGAATGTTTCATTCTACTAACCGTTACCTGAATCAAAAAATGTACTAACATGGTAGAGACCATCATATTTTTTAAGTAACGATCGTTATTCTGTTCACAGTTTTTAATTTCCTTTCTCCCCCCTTCTCCACAAAGCACTCAGGCATTGGACACGCTATGGTAAACAAACTACATTGTTCGGTAGATATCATTCTAATTGTTTCTTATTTTGGGTTTGCCGTGTGTTTTCTTTCTTTCTTTTAACTGTAGACATCATTAACAAAAGAGGAACTGCGGTTGGTACTCTTCTGCTTACTTTGACCTCCTTCTTTTCATCTGTTGTTGACCTTCTTATTTTTTACCTGTTCCTGTCAACTTCTGTTTTCCAACTCACCTGTAGGGGCATCGTTAACGTTTCGAACGTTTTGCATCCAGCTGTGGTTAACACGGGATAAGACAAAATGGTGGCTGGCCCGAGTGACCGCAAGCTCAGCCAGTCTCTAACCATTCATGATGCATGGCATGCACACCTGATTGGGGAATGTTGGAGATGCCACACCCACTCATCTTTACGTCATCACAAAGCAGTTGTGGTTTTTTTGTTTTGTTTTGTTTGTTTTTTGTTTTTTTCCTTTGGTTCTCCCCGTTTTCTTTCCTTTCCTTTCTGAACTGTACTGTCCCTCTTGCATGTGCACATCCGCGTGTGCTGCTTCCACGGGTTGTTTTGCCTTTCCTCCCCTTTGGCATGGACTTAGGCACTTGCATGCTGAACAACTGCTGCTCAATAGCGCGAATAGTGACATTGCTGGAAATAGCTTGCGCCTTTTATGTTAACAAGGTGCACGTTGTGATTAGTTAATAACAGACGACTAAACTTTACTAATATGTACACCAGCAAAACTAACCTAGGAAGCATTTTACTAACACCATTTTTGTGTCTGCTAAATAACTTTTGAGTTGCAATAGGGATGATGCTGACACTAGTTCAATAATCAGTTAACTCTCTAACTAGTTTAGATGGCTTAGGGCTAGTTGAATAGAATCCAAGAATAAACTTCAAACAGACATGAAAATGGGTTCCGCCATAGGTCTAAAAATAAAAACCAAACAAACAGAAAAAAAAAAAGCAAAAAAACAAAACGAAAAAAAAAAAAAAAACAAAACACAAAACAGGCATATCCCAGGATTACAGTATCTAGGTCTGAGTATAGCGTGTCCTTTCCCTGTGCTTTGTTATCTAGGTGACAATATCAGTGGATGGGATTCTTACCACAACGGGCTACACGCAAGAAGATTATACCATGCTGGGGTCTGATGACTTTTTCTATGTTGGAGGCAGTCCCAGCACAGCAGACCTTCCAGGGTCACCAGTCAGTAACAACTTTATGGGCTGTCTCAAAGAGGTAAATATCACTGTCACCAGAATCATTCCTAATCCATGATCCCATCATTTCAGATCCAGACTGAAAGCACCTTTGCTGAAGACCCAGTGTTTGCGGAGCCAAATGGCACAACCTTAAATTGAATATTCCACTGTTGTTTGTATAGGATTGGGGGAGGGAGGCAGCTCATAGAACATTATGAAGGAATGAAGTGCCTCTTCTTTCGTAGTCTGTGAGTAAGTCACAGTTAAGATCTGCATGGGCAGTTGTGTATTTGCTATAAAAGAAAGTGAAACAAAGAAAGGCTGGATCTAGACTTAAGTTCAATGCCTTACTCATTTTTACTTAACTGTCTTAGGTGTTTTTAATACAGTGGTGACTTGTTTGATCATTACAGGAAAAAAGAAGAAAACAATTAGGATATGAGAGAGGTTACATAAAACAAAAACAAAATGAGTCTGTGTGATGAAATAATTTTGTTCTTATGTTTGAAAAATATTCCGAAGGAAGTGAAGCTGTTTCATTTGTGATCTGATGAGCACACTTGATATTTACCTGAGCAAAACTATCAGGCTAAAAGATACCAGTAATTTCATCCCTCATACTCACTGTCCTTATCTGGTATAACTCTTGATAAAATTGGAACTTGTCGGGGTTTGGGGAGAAAAAGATTGGGAAGTCGTTGAATTTCAACTTATATTAATATGTTTTTTCCATAAAAGCTGCTTGTTTTCAATCCGGGAGAACCCAGTTTCTTTTGGCTGCTAGAACCAGAGGTTTCTCTTGTATTGTATGGTTGCAGTTTAATGGTGTAGACCTCCAAAATGTAAAAGTGTAATCACTGAATTTATGAGTGATTAGCCATGGGTGCTGTTGGTAAGCAGTTACATACTTTGGTTTATTCTAAAGAAAATATTCCAGTTATATAACTTGATTCAGGTAAGCATCAGTGAAAAACAGCCTCCGCTTATCACACGCTTACCTCTCCTCCATGTATGCGAACATACTGCATGGCCCAGTAGTGGCTGGATATAGAAGAATCCTAAGAGGAGTTTGAAAATGCTCATTTTAACAAATCCAAGGAGATGCAGTTCTGAAAAGTTGAATTTAACCCTACTTTGTGGTGGGAGGGATCAACTGCCTCCCAGAGAATAACTTTCACCCTTTATAAGTATGTAGTATGACCCAGGACTTTGCTAAGCTCTGTGGGTGTAATGAAATAATTATTATTTTCATTATTATAATAATAGCACTGGCATTTTTTGAACTCTTATTTTGTGCCTGATGCTATCCTAAGAGCTTTACAGGGATCTCCACAATATAGGTAGTCATTTTATCATCTGCATTTTTCAGGCAAAGTATTAGGTTTCAGAGCAGGTAAGTTTCTTGAGCAAGTTGTTAGCAATAGCTAACAACTATTAAAACCTAGAGCTTAATCAAAGAATTCTGATGTCAGACAGACATGTTTGTTAGGGCCCCTGCCATGGAAGATTGTGCAAACCGTCGAGGTGCTTACAAACTGAAACAGCTCTTAGAAATGTGTAATAGACTGTGAGGGATGAGGTATTAAACTGTGTGGCAGAGTTATACTCTTTGGAGTCCAAGAGAATGAAATGAGTGAGAGACCTAGTAGACAAAGAAGATACACAGAAGAGTAAGAATGTGAGAATCTTGATGGATGACTATGGTTTGGAGAGGTAGGGGATGGAGAATGTGTTTCAGGGTTAGGAAGAAACATGGTAAAACGAACAAACAGAAACTAGATTTCATGATAAGATGCCTAAAACCACCTTCTGGTAAAGGGAATTGTGAAGGGGGACAGGCACAGAACCACACTGCCACCCACCCACCCCAGTTCCTCACTTTCACTGTGAACAGGCCAGCCTCCAGTCAGCCCCGAGGCCCTGCTTCAACTATGGAAAGTCAGTCCTGCTGTGGCCTAGGAAAAGGAAAGGGGATCTAAGAATCTCTAGCAGAAACACGACTGTAGCTAAAGAGCTCTTTTGGCTATCCAGCAAAAACATGAGATTTTCTGCAGTGAGCACCCAGGTTCAGCTGAGCCTTGTCTTCTGACAGTTCAACATGGCAGGACAGCTTTTTGAGTGTAGGAAGCTGCCGTGGATTGAAATCATAGTTTCATATTAAACTGTATGTCAGATTAACGTTGTAACGTTTAAATGTTAACGAGTAGTAGACACATTTTAGAACTCATCTATTTTTATTTGGTTTTTCAGGCGCAAAAAATCACTACAGCCCAGACAATCCAAGTGGCCTTTCCTGTGACATTCATTTAGCCCCTGCTGAGCCCATACAATGCAGGTTCACTTCTGTCATTAACTCTACAGGTTTTAGGTTGATACCGTTCCTCTTAGTTGATAGGGCACCTCCCTCACCTCTCTTTCCCACAGCGTGGGGGTGGGGGGACGTGTGTAGAACAAGTGCTGTTGGGGGTTTTTTGTTTGTTTTTTAATTTGTTTTTGTTTTTGTTTTTGGACGTGTTATCACCCTCACTTTATTTCTTCCTGACACAGTAGAGGGTGGAAAGATACAGGCACAATCAACCTGTAAATCAGAACATACCTGACTTAGAGGGCTTTTGGATGGGCCATAGTTTCTGAAATACTGTCTATTTAGAATGCCTGCTCTTCCTACTTCCGAAATGAAATTGCCACAAAGTGTCATAGATTTGGAGTTAAATGACCTCGTTTCAGGTAGATGAGCTCTGTAGACTTACTGAAAAAAGAGGAACATGCCCATCTTCCTTCTCACCACATCTCTTAACACTAACTCCAGGTAAGCCTTCCTTCAGCTTCCATAAGCTTTCGGCCCTGGAGTACATGGTATGTCTAAAACATTAATTATGGTTTAATTTATGGCTCATAACAATTTGCTTTTCAATCTGTTATGTAATCCCTTTTAGGATGACCAATCCTGGGGGAGATACTAGTAACACCATGTCCCAAGCCATAGAAGAAATATTGGAGTGTTAGATTAAGAAGGATCCTGGAAATCATTCTCCAAGCCCAGTCTCCTTTTTTGGAAATGGAGAGACAGACCTAGAGAAGTTACCTGACCTACCCAAGAGCAATGAAGGGGTAACAGGAGTAGAACACACAATACAGTAAAAAAAAAATAGAATTTTTGAACGGCTGACTCTGTTCTACTGTAAACAGTGGCCTCAAGACAAAAATAGAGATGGCCTACCATTCTCACTAATTCTCATCTTCATTCTTTAAAGATTAAAATGTAGGGACACCTGGGTGGCTCAGTCCGTCGAGTATCCAACCCTTGATTTCAGTTCAGGTCATGATCTCAGGGTTGTGAGATCGAGCCCCACATCAGGCTCTGCACTGGGCATGGAACCTGCTTAGGATTCTCCCTCTCTCTCTCCCTCTCCCTCTGCTCCTCCCCACTCGTGCTCTTTCTCTCTCAAAGATAAATAAATAATAAAGATTAAAGTGGAAAAAAAAGATGTTACTTAACTTGATGAAACAACCTATAATTTAATGTTCATTAGAAGCAGTTAGGGCTTTCCCTGTATGGTATTTGATAATGCCTGTTTGAAACGAGACTTGGCTTGCACGCAGAGCAACGAACCCTCATTAAGAAAAGTGTTATTATATTTTAGTGATTGTCAGATTTCAAAACAAAGTAAAATTAGTTTAACGTAATTTGGCAAAACCTAACCTGAGTTTGTTTAAAAAAAAAGAAGATACCTTGAATGGCCAGGAATTTATAAGGTAATCAAAGTAGGTTTTTTTTAATTATTTAAATTTTCATCATAAATAAATCAAAAAATCTTTAGAGAAATGTTTGAGCTCACTGAAAATGACTTTCAAGGATATAAATTTGAGAAAAGTTAAAGGAAAAAATTGTAAATAATGAATTACCGTTATATAACCCCCATCTAAGAAATTCCTAGAGGATGATAGGTCTTTAAAAGCATGCTTGTAAATCCAGTTTTTACAAAAGTGATACTAATCATGCTTTGGCAGAAACATTTGTGTATATTCTTTGCATTTTTTATAACCTTGAGTAAAAGCTGAAATATATGTTGCTTAAGAGTTATTGATCATTTTAGTTATATTTAATTTTTCCAGCAAGCAGTTCTTGAGTGACTGCTGCAACAGGAGAGGGAATCGGAAAAGCATGCAGAAAGATAAATCACGTCAGAGTGAGGTGCTTGGAGTCTGTCTGAGGACACCTACCTCCCCGCCCATTTACCCTAAGCTACTTGGGAAAGCATTTTCTGTATAAAAGTATCACAGTTGATTCCTAAGGTGCTCATTAGACTTTTTTTTTTTTAATCTCCAAAGATAGATGAAAATCCCACTAATACGTGTTTCTGTCCCAATATTTCGACTGTGAAGGCTTCTGTAGTAAATGACTTACAAGGAAGGGTCATGCCACTCCCTCATTAATCTTGCCTCAGAATCTACTCCTGCTATTATGCATTTCTTAGTCTCTTTGTACCTCCAAAATGCTTTGAAACACCTATTTCCCTCCTGTAGTGAAGATTATTTAACGTAGTTTATTGGTAGGGAAATGAACATGAAGAGGGAGTAAAGGATTGTCTTCAAATAAAACAACCTAGAATCTTTTATTTGAAGTTTGTTTTTAGCCATATGTACCTGCTGGAGGTCTTACAATCAGTTATTTGAGTGGAGACACTGCCTGTGTGAGACAATTTAGAATGTCGCCACTAAGTCTTTTGGGATAAGCCTAAGGAGGGATTCTAGAAAAAAAGAAAATAGTGAAATGCTAGGGGGAGTTAAATCCCTACTGAAAATTTCATCAACCTAATTAGATCAGCTCCACCTTTAATTACACTGAGAAACTTTTAGCACTTAAAATTGGGAAGATGCTACAAGGTAGATAAGATTCAGAAAGTATCCTCTTATGTAAGCATCCCTCCCCCTACCCCGTTAAAAAAAAAAAATAGTTGATTCTTCCATGTAGTCAGCATGGTCCCCTCTACCATTTTCAGTGGCAAAACTGTAATTCCCACAGGGTACCAGCGT